CGAGGCCTCAGTCCGATCACTCGACTCCTGAAGCATGGAGGACGTTCAGCCGGCAGCTCCGTCGTGAAACAGACACGAGACTGAAGAAGATCTCAGCTCGCCGCAGGAAGCCGGCGCCTCGGGCAACACCGTGTTCGACAACCAGGAGATGAAGCGGCGCTGCTGAGGGAGCTCTGAGGGCTTCTTTGGAAAAGACACGAACAGAAAACTGCAGCTGAGGAGGGAAGAGCTCATCGCCGAGGACTGAAGCAGCCGGATGGAGACGAAGCAGGAGCACCAACGTGACTGTTGTATGGATCCTGGAGGTCAGGAGGACAGAAGGTCTGAACCTGAGCAGCTTATGGGACAGAGTCTGGACAAAGATGGAGAACGTTCTCCGTGTTTTACGGAGTCACAGGAGCGTCCTGAAAAAAGTCAATCTGTAAAATAATAACGTGTAAAGACGAGTGACGTATAGAAGGAGCTTCAGAAGTTTCACATTTATTTCTTGTTTATTGATATATTTGCTCATAAATGTGAAGGTTTTGTGTGTTTCTCAGTTGGTTTGTGTCTGTTGTGATCACTTTGTGCCTCTTTGGTGTCATTTGCATCTGCTTGCTTTTGTTTTTGTGGTTCTTTTGTGTCTCTTTGTGGTTCTTTTGTGTCTGTTTGTGGTTGTTTTGTGTTTTTGCTGATGGTCCGAGTCTATTTAGGATTTTTATATTTCTGAGTGTTTTTTTAAATCTCTCGGGGGTCGTTTTGTGTCTCTTTGTGTCTCTTTGCGTTGCCTGTTGCACGTCTCCCAGTAGGTGATTTTGTGTGTCTGCAGCTGGACGGTGTCTTGGTGCACCGGTTCTGTGTTTATTCTGCATCTTCTTGCATTTCACTGATTGTTTTCTGTGTCTTTTGTGGTCATCATCACGTTCTTATTTCCTGGTGTTTGGTGTCGTGTGCGTTTCTTTCGGGACGTTTTGCGTCACCTTGCAGTTGAGTTGTGTCGCCTTGTGTTTGTTTTCCGTCTCTCTGTGGTGATTTTGTACCTCTTTGCCGTCATTATCAAAGTTCTGGCAGAAAAAGGCCCAAACAGGTCGGACTTTCAGACACGGCGAGCCGATGGGCGCTGCAGCAGGCCGACGAGCCCACACAGATCTGAAATTAATCAGGGCTCCGACCGCTCCATGCATATTTCATCCATCTCCTCCACACCAGCTCCATCCATCCTTCATGAATTAAGAAACAGCCCATTTAAAGCCAGAACTCATTTGCGTCCGTCCAGCCTCCCTCGGGTCGCCGTCTGGAGCCTCGGCGGCCACGTCGCCGTCCTCATCGACGCCCGGCTCACGCGTCTCTGCAGCTGCACGCATGAAAACGGGCCGATTTAGTTCAGACCGCAATCGGACCGAGCCCGACCCGAAGTGAAGACGAACAGGAACCACGAGGTTTTGGTGAAGTTAATGTTAAACGATGCCGACCTGATGGAATCCTGTCAGTCTTGTTATGGAGTAATGGGAGTGCTAGCATGCATATATATATATATATATATATATATATATATATATATATATATATATATATATATATATATATATATATATATAAATATATAAATATAAATATATATATCCACAAATCTGTAGAATAAATGTAGAAGTATATAGGAGAACACCAAAATACAACAACTTTCATTTGCTTTTACAGTTTTTTGTTAATTTATCTTTGTTTATATTCATTTTAAAAAAATATAGAATTTCCAAATAGTTTTCATTTCTTTGTGCTTATTTTATGTCTTCTTGTGATTCTTTTGTGTAAGAACGGCTTTTTTTTTTTTTTAACTTTTAGAATGTGTCACCATAAAAGTTCACAACTTTATCACGACACTGAAAAAAAACAAAAAAACCCAAAAGACTAAATTACATGATTTGACAAAAATCTGCATATTAAAACTGAAAAATTGCAAACTTTTAAGTGTTTTTTTTTTTAAATTAAAAAAAAAAAGGTGTTTATTTATTTTTACAGATTTTCCGCGTTTTGTTAAATTAGAATAAGTAGTTTATTAATTTAAATGCTGGCTTAAAAAAACAAACAAAAATAAAATAAAACCAATAAATAAATTATTGTAAAAATCAACGTAAACTGTAAACAAAATTCTGCAAAAACAAAACTAAAAAAAATCTCAATCAAGGGTGGCAGAGAAATATTATTAAAAAAGTTATTTGAAAATAACGACAAATACCTATGAAATAATATTTTAATATTTTAAGCTGATTTAAATACAGTAAAACTATATAACTGAACAAAATGTAAAATTTGTAACAATAAGTAAAACAATAATATATTTTACACGTTTTATTTTGTATAAATACATTTTCTGCTGATTTAAAAGCTGAAAATAGCGTAAAGTTCTGGTCAAACACTAAAAGAATAAAATAGCATTTATAAAAACACAGAACGTTGATGTAGAGATTTTTATTATTGTAAACATGTGAGTTCATATTTACTCTTTCTGTGTCTTTCTAGATGTGAGTATTTCAACCAAACAGGGAAACACCTGGAAACTGTTGAGGACGTTACAGCTGCAGGTTTTACAGTTTACCTGTCACCTCCATCGTCAGCGTTGTTTCCTCCTTCCTCCTCCTCCTCCTCCTCCACCTTCCTTGTACTTCCTGGTCATGAATCCTGGATGCGACTCGGGGCCTTTGGGTTTGCTCGGCCGCCGCCTGAATGGCTTTGGTGGATTTGGTTTTGATGACTTTAATATCGGCTCTGACCCGCATGCGCTTTGAAACCTGCAGGTAGACGACCGGGTTTCCCTCATGAATTATCCGTCCTGCTGCTGGGAAATAAGAACCAGCGGAGCGGCGGCGGCGGATTACTAATGGGGCTGCAGCTCGGGCGATCTGTCAGGAAAATAATAATAATAATAATCACAACAAGAGTGCGACGGGAAACGCAGCTCGCTGTGTGAGCTCCTGACTGACTGACACCCGATAAATAACCCATTTCAATTTCTGAAGCAGTCGTGATGATAAACTCCACAGCAGGCTCCAGCTCACCTGCTCGATGCATTACAGGCCTCCGACAACGAGGCTGTTTATTCACACATCTGTCCCCGAGTGACAGCAGCAGCAACAACAGTAACAAGAACAGTAACAACAGTAACAGGAACAGCAGCGGTAACAGTAGCAACAGTAACAGCAGTAACAGTAACAGTGTTAACAGTAAAAGCAACAGTAACAGTAGCAGTAACAGCAACAGCAGTAACAGTAATACCAGTAACAGTAACAGTAAAAACAGTAACAGTAGCAGTAACAGTGGTAACAGTAACAACAGTAACAGTGGTAACAGTAACAGTAACAACAGTAACAACAGTAACAGTGGTAACAGTAACAGTGGTAACAGTAACAACAGTAACAGTGGTAACAGTAACAGTAACAACAGTAACAGTGGTAACAGTAACAGTAACAGTAACAGAAGTCACTTTGTCTTCACGCTGTCCGTCTGTGAAGTCGACTCGTTTGTCTTTGCAGTTGTTCTGCATCTTTGTGGTCGTTGCAGTTCTGGAGAGATTCTTGTGGTTTCTTTTGAAACTGATTTACCTTCAGCTCAGTTTCTCTTCAGCTTCCTGCCATAATATTGGATATAATCAACAACATGAAACTGATTTGGCTTCGTTTTATACATACATATATTGACAGCGTCTACGTGGATCCATTTGTGTTATTTTGTAGTTGTAATTTTTCCACTTTTGTTCTAAGTTGCAGAAAAAAGCAGAAAAGCCGTTTAATGAGTGCGTGTCCAAACTTTTGACATCTACTTTAAAGCACATTAATGAGACACACAGCTTTGTGCAGGTTAAACTCGGGCTGTTGAATCCACAAAGAAGGAAAATAAGAACTCCTCAGAGTCTGTGGAGTCCAACACGGCTGACCGGCTCTCCGAGCAGAGATGAAGGGCTGAAGGCCGGAGGGGAGCTAGGTAGCGCCGGTCCGACTCGTCTCCCAGCGCTGTCCACGACTCTCCGACGCCACTTTAATTGGACCGCTTTAATTAGGTGCTGGCTGCTTCGGTCCTGTGATCGGGTCTCAGCGACATCGGCCCACGTCCAGAATGACGATTCAAAATTTCACCAAAATGAACAAAAAGGACTGAAAAACATAAAAAATGACCCAAAATCTGAGCTGAAGTTCTGCACAGCGACTAAAATAAAATGTTCTATGAGACAAACTCGTATGAAACTACAGACAAAAGTCCAAAACGCTCCAATGTTTGTCCAAAAGTGTCGAAAATTATTCAAGATACCAAAGTGACGACTCCGGTTAGAAGACTCGGTCCAAAATGAATCTGGACCCGACCATCAAGGCCGGACCCTGGACGCTGCTTCCTGCTGACCATCTGGTCGTTGGTCTTCTTGAACGCTGCCTCGCTTCGTCCTCTGAGTGTTTATGTTCTTTCCTCCTCCAGAATAAAACAGCCGCTGAAGTTCAACGTGTTCATTTATTCTGATTTTGTTCCTTCATGTGTTGATTTTGTGCTGATTTCTGGTGATTTTCTATCGTTTTGTGCTGATTTCTCGTCTGGCTGTTGGGATTTTCTGGTGAGTTCTGGTCTTAGTGATGATCTGGTGTTCTGCTGATCCAGTGTTCTGCTGATCCCGTGTTCTGCTGATCCCGTGTTCTGCTGATCCGGCGTTCTGCTGATCCGATGTTCTGCTGATCCGGTGTTCTGCTGATCCCGTGTTCTGCGGTGTCGGTCGGGCTGAAGCAGATTTGGGCGAAGCTTCCTGCGTCTCCTCGGAGATCGGCGGCGGCCTCCAGAGACTCCCGGCTCCCACTGATGCATGCTGGGAAACGGCGTCCCCGGCAGCTCCTAATGCAGTCGTCAGGCGTCGCGGTCCAGCGGCGGCGACAACAGGCGTTCCCCGGGCGACGCTTCCTGTCGCCACGACGCCGTTAATCTCAGCCGGTTCGTCAACAGATGAAGCTGTAAAGCTTCTGGATGAGACTCCTCAGGACACCTGCACCGATCGGCCAATCAGGAGCCGGGATCCACGGAGCAGGAAGACGTTTGGGTTTGTGTCATTACGGTCCGTTTGACTGCGATGACTTCAGGTCATGTTTGATGAACCGTTCAGGAGTTTAGACGAGCTGATCTCATGTCGGATCATTGTTTAGTCTTTCTGGACATTTTGTTCCAGGAGCTTTGGAGGCGTTTCCGTCAGTTTGGTCAAATTTGGTTTCATGTTTTATATTTTATTCAATGATTTCAGACAAACTTGTGTCATTTTTTAGTTGTGGGTTTATTTTAAAAGTAGTTTCAGACAAGTTTTTGTCATTTTGGTCATTTGTTGGGTAATTTGGACATTTTTTTTTCTGCTGTAGATATGAATCATTGACAAGTTTATTCCATTTTGGACGATTATTTTTGTCATTTTGGACATTTTCTGAGTCGTTTTGGAGGCATTTATGTCATTTTGGTCGAATTTGGAATCGTTCTGGACCACCATCATTTGTTTTTACATTTCATTCAATGATTTCAGTTTTTGGGCAATTTTTTGCCATTTTGGACATTTTCTAATTAATTCTGGAGGCGTTCGGAGTGATTCTTGTGATTCTAGTTCATTTATTTTAGACAAGTATGATATTTTGGACATTTTGTTTGTAGTTTATTTATTTTTTTGTCAAATTGTGAATCCCTTTAGACGTCATTTAAGGCAGTTTTTGTGTCACTTTTGTCTGATTTTTTTATGTAGTTTTGTGGGATTTTGTCATTCTGGTCAAATTTAGAATATTTTTAGACACATTTATGCCATTTTGGACAATTATTTTTTGTTATTTTGGACATTTTCTGAGTAGTTTTGGAGGCGTTTGTGTCATTTTGGTTGAATTTGGAGGCATTTTGTGATTCTGATTCAATCATTTTAGACAAACATGTTATTTTGGACTTTTGTTTGTAGTTTTAGAGGAGTTTATATATTTTTTTTGTCATATTTTGAATCGTTTCTGACACGTTTATGCCATGTTGGACCATTACTTTTGTCATTTTGTCTCAGTAGTTTTGGTATTTATGTCATTTTGGTCATATCAGAATCATTCTGGACCACTGTCATTAGTTTTTTACATTTTATTCAATGATTTCAGAAAACTTCATGTTATTTTGGGCAGTTTTAGTTGTTTTTGATATTTTTTTTGAAGTAATTTTAGGCGAGTTTGTCGTTTAGGGCAGTTTTTGCGTCACGTGTCAGATTTTCTTCTGTAGTTTTGCAGGATTTTGTCATTCTGGTCAAATTTTGAGTCATTTTTGACACGTTTCTGACATTTCGGACGATTATTTTGGTCATTTTTAGTGGTTTCAGGAGGATTTCTGCAGCTTTTTCATTGATGTTCTTTTAACAGAGCGACTAATGAGGACTAATCCAGCCCTAACGCAGATGTTCTGAGGCTCAGTGGGCCACAGTCTGCTTCCACAGCGTCCAGCTCTGGTTCTGTTTCAGCTCATCCTGTAAAACTCCTCCTCAGGCCCTGATCGGGACCCTCAGGGACCCCAGACGCTCCTCCAGGGCTCCTCTTTGTTCAGCTTCTCGTCTGTCTGTTTTCGTGGCCTCCATTAGGCAGCCGGCCAGAGAGGAGCGGTTCTAATGGAGGAACCGGGTCGGTTAGTGGCTCTAACTGGTCTCCCAGGCCTCGTCTCCTCCTGCATCCGGGTTTGCTGAAGCCCCGCTGGGTTCGTGTCCTACATCAGCTCATGAAAGGAGCCTTTTATTTCTGCCCTCGAAGAATCCAATCCCTTCGGCCGAGCTTCTAAATTTAAAACCGCCGTGGAAAAAAAAACACACAAAGCAAAATTAGACGTCGGGGAAAAACTCCCGACTGAAGCTGGAGACTGGCGCTGAGTCCGATTTATTCTGCTGGAACACGAACCGGTTCATCTGCTGGGTGGAGCCGAAGGTTTACGGCTGCCAGAGTCAAACTGAGCAGAAACAATGATAATTACTGAACATTTTAAAGTCAGAGGAGCAGAAATCCTGACCTCCAGTGTTTCATTACATCGACCTGAAGTTAGGTTCAGACCCACAAACGGAGAAATTAGAGTTTAAATTACAGAAAACTAAACTGATAGATGCTGTTTGGACCTTTGTGATCGTTTCCTGACACTGACCAGTCACCTGATTCATCTGTAGGTTATTTTCTTCATTAACTTGAGTCCTGAACATTTTATTTTCTCGACATGAGCCTGGAACAGAAGAACCACCTGCTTCCAGAAGAAAAGGCCAAAATGTTTAAGCTTTAAAAACAGCCGATGGAACAAATTGTTTTTGTCAGTTTGTTAATAAATGGACTCAAATTAAATTCTCCTGCAGCCTTCAGAACTTCCTCTGTCCCTCCAGGCTTCCGTACATCCAGGTCCGATTGGTCCAAACACATTTTTATTTAGTGTTCCACATTTTTAGGAGACCGTTTTATATTAGATATAGAAGAACAGTGTCGTGAGCTTAATAAAATCTGTTCTAAAGCTGAACCGAGGCGCCGCTGAGCCGTGGCGGCCCATCAGAGGCCCGTCAGAGGCCCGTTGGAGGCTGGTGGAGGTGTTCAGCCTCCTCTCAGACCTCCTGTTGTTCAGCTCAGCCGCCTCGTCTCGCAGACGGAGTTAATTACGCTGAAAGTCGTGCCGGAAAGTCGGCAAAGCCGCGGCTCTGGGCTGCTTATCTGCGAGGTGTGAACAGGTATTTACTCCAGCTGGGAGAGACGTCGGCTCAGACGCTAACGTGCTAACGCTGGATTAGCGGCGGGGCTCCGTCAGCCCGGTTCCACCGGAGGCCCGAGTCGGGAGCCGATCTGTCGGTTGGTTAATGCGACGGGAGACGTTCTGTGATCAAACGGCAGCTCTGTGGTCCTTCAGCAGCTGTTCTGGATCTTGTTGAAGCAACTCCAGCATCACAGGCCAACGCCAATAATCGATCAATAAACGTCTTCAGACAGACGTGATCCGTCTGAACCATCTCTGCAGACGTGTCCAATGACAGCAGAGAGCAACGAAAAATGAATAAAGTAAAGCAGAAAATGACCAAAAGGAAGCAAAACATCCATCGACTGATGGAAAATACCTAAAAAGAGATGCAGAGTCAGCAAGAAATGGAAGCAAAATCATCACAGAGATCCAAAAACAAAGTAAAGGGAAACAAACTGAGAACAAATGGAAGCAAAATAACTAAAACGAGATTAAAAATGAGCACGAACAGATGCAAAAAGACAACGAGATGCAGAATGAGCACAAATGGAAGCAAAATATCCACTGACTGATGCAAAATAACTAAAATTAGCTTCAAAACGAGCATAAAGACCTGATGGAAAATAAGTACCAACCAACAAAAAACACACACCAAATGAACACAAACCGATGGAAAATTTCCATTAATGGATGAAAAGTAACTACAAAGAGATGCAGAGTTAATGGAGGCAAAATGGCCGTTAACCAATTTAGAATAACTAAAGAGATGCAGAACGAGTCCAGAGACGTAAACTCACCAACGAGCGAACATTCAGGAGTAAAGTTCCTCCTGCTGAGCGGATCCAACCGGAGGATTTCACTGATGAAGCTGCTCGGACTGATCGGTAGATGAGACCCGACCGGTTCTGGGTTAACGGTCCGAACAGCTGCTGGACGAATCACATCACCAGCTCTTTAGTTACAGAACCGACGGGCTGCTGAAGTCCAAAATGACCCGCGTTGGCTTTACGGTGTTTCTGCCTCCTCTGGACTTTCTGCTGAGTCGCCGTGGCCTCAGGGATGACTCAGCAGTTACACCGGTTTCAGCCACGTGTTAATGAGGCAGAGCGGTTGGCGTTTGTTCTCCAGTAGTTGTCCAGAAAACATGAGAAAAACTGTTTTTTGCAGCTTTTATTTTGAAAGTTCCAGAGCTCAGAATTAAATCAGCTGCATGTGGAGTCTCGTTAACAGGGTTCTACCAGAACCCTCTCTGGCACCACTTTGATTATTTACCAAATGTTTTCTTTATTTGACTAAAGACTCGACAGATTTCAGCTCGTCTGTTATAAAGGCGCCACACGATTGGTCCGTTTGGTCACATGACATGTGAAGAAGCCTGAAGAAGGAAACTGATTGGTGGATGACATTGGACTCAGACAAAGTGGAAAAAAAAAAACAACAACTTTAATCAACAATTAACAAAAGGCAGCAAACGACGGAGCAGCTGGAGATCCAGGAAGTCCCAGAGAAAACTTCAAAATAAAAGCAAAGAATGGAAATAATTTAAAAATTAATAAAAGCAGTAGAAACACAAACCTGAGGCACAAACGACCAAAGATTATCGACACACAGCTGGACGGAGGAAGTAGGAAACGGGATTACAAAATAAAAGACAACAATCCTTTTACTGCTTCTGCCCTCAAAGTTCTCCGTCCTGCAGTATTTATATCTGGAGGAGATACCAGGATGTGGTCGCTCAGAGCTCAGGAGCCTGAAAACAGCTTCAGAGTCTGAAACCTGCAGAGACGGAGTTCATCACGTAAACCTGAAGGATCTAACCGGAGACAGGAGCCTTCACCTGTCCACAGGTGACGTCCTGGAGGTGAGCAGACCTTCAGCACCACCACCAGAACCTTCCTGGTGTCAGTTTACAGCCTGAGAACCAGTTTAGGTCTCGTTTCTTCACTGCAACATCAGGTCCTGCAGCTCTTCGTCTCCGTTTTCTGTCATTTTGAGCCTGTTTCTGTTTTTATTGTGTCTTGTTGTGACCGTCTGGTCTCGTTGTTCCGTCTCATTCTTCTCGTCCTCATTGAGCCTCCTGCAGATCCTGAGAAACATCCCGACGAAGAACCCTGAAACCCTGCTGGAGGTGAGACGAGTCTCAGCTCAGGAACAATCAGAACATCCGACCAGATGTGGGAGGACTTCTGAGAACTTCTGGCGTCCTGGACGGTCTGTTGGTACCGATGATGGAAAACAGAACGACGAGACGATGAAGGTTCTTCAGAGGAGGAGGGAAAACAGACAAAATGAGGAAGTGAAATACAAAGGAAGGAGAAACCAGAAGCTCAGGTTCACCAGGAGCTGCCGCCGACCACATCTGTTCTCTGGAGGCTTCAGGTTTTGTTGAACCGGATAAGACGAAGAAAACCCGGATTTGTTAAACTCACTTCTGAGTTCAGGCCTCGTCTCGGTCCGTTTGGACTCTGAAGTTTTTCGTTGTGATGTTTCATGATGCCGTCGTACGAAAACAGGTTTTTCAGGATGAGAAATCAAACTCGATGTCTAGTTTCACCGTGTAGGTCACGACTTATCTGACGTACGTTCGCTGTAAAACACGAACGTTTTAAACTGTTTTGTTAAATTACAGACAAACAGTAAAAATCACAGAAAAGCATTAATTTAACTGTAAAAACTTAAACGATGGTCAAAACTCTCCAAATTATTATTATTTTTGTTTAAATGAAAATTTGTTCTTTTATGTTTGAATGTAAAATTAGACAATTAGTTGTATTTAAATATATAATTATTTTACAGATTTAGATTTAAATGTTGACTGTAAAAAAATTAAAAAGCAAAAAAAAAAAACCCCAAAATAAAAACTGATCATAACTGAATAATGTCCACAAGAAGAATCTAAAACTTTATATTTTTTTCCACAATATTTGACTGTAAAGCGGCCATTTGGCTGAATTTAAATCAGCATAATGATAATAAAGGTATTTGCCGTTTTATAACTGTTATATATATATAAATTTAAAAAGGCCAAAACTGTGAATAACATCCACATTTAATTTTTTTTTACTAATTTATTTTTGCAATTTTTTTCTTTAAAATTTGTGACAATAAATTACATGTAATTAAAAAAAAAAAAAGTAAATAGCTTTTTTTTTTTGCAGTTTATTATTATTGTTTACGTGACGGTATTCCACTGTTTCTGAAATTTAACAGATTTTTTTTTTTTGAGTGTAAAACACTAAAAATGAGCAACACACTGAAACAAACCTCCTCCTGCTCTCCTCAGTGACGAACATCTGACTCCTGCTCCTCAGAGGTTGAACCGTTCGTCCTGAACCGACGAAGCGTTTCTAACGACGCCGGCCGACGCTCTGATTGGCCCGTTTTACTGGACGGCCTCCTCCGGTCGTCGCCTTTAAACGAAGCCTTCAATCACGAGTCGAGTGCAGAGGAAGGACGAGAGCGGCTCAAAATGAATTCCTTCCTCCGATAGCATCAGCCTCCTCGCCCGGCGATAAGAGCGACTCGCGGCTTCTAAAGCGGCAGAAAACGGCGACGCGGCTGCTCTTAATTCCGGTTTTATCTGCCGCCGGTCGTGGTTGGAATATTTGTGCCGCCTCTCGCCGCCGCGTGTTCTCTGCCTGTAAGTCGCCGCCGAGGCCTTTGTGGAGGATTTTGTTAAATTATACGGCGGCTGATAAAGCCACTCTGCGGCTTTAAGAAGTTAAAGGAGACGGACCGGGCGGAGGGGAGGACTTTGAAGAGCAGCTGGAAGACTCGGCTAATCCACTCGGCAGATTTGGCGGCACAAAGAGAGACGAGGAGGACGAATGGAGGCCGACTTAAAGCTTTCTGCTCGTCGTGCCGCTCCTCTTTCTTTTCTCTGCCGCCGCCGTGTCGCTCTGTGCTTGAAGGGAGGTATTACTGAGGATTTGACGCACTCAGAAAAGAAGAAATCAGCACCTTAACAGGTCATTCAGTCCATTATGGAGCTCTGAATTCTCACAGCTGAAAAGAATCACAGAGCGGAGTTTAAAGCGCTCGGCCGGATCAGCGAGGTGACCGGCGTCGCCTCCGAGGAGACCGATCAGAGGAGGACGAAGCGGCTACTGATGCACAGCCAGTCGCACAAAACCACCACAAAGTCACGCAGAAATGATCAAAGACACGAAAAACAACCAAACGCAGGCAGAGCAGCGACCGAGGGATGCAAAGAGCTGCAGAACCACCACACGGACACAAAACGACCACAAACGGGCACAAAATGATGACAAAAACCACCACAAACACACGAACGACGGTCAAAAACAGATGCAAAATAAACAAGGTACTAAACGACCACAAAGACGAACAAAAAACCAGCAAACTGATGCAAAAACAAACACAATGACCAGGAAACCAGACAAAAATAACGGCAAACACATGTAAAGTAGCAGAGAACTCAAAAATACAACCAAAGAAATGCAAAACACACAAAATGACCACAAAGACAAACAAAACAGATGCACAATAATGAATTGGTGCAAAACAACCACAAAATGCTGCAAAATGACAATGAAGTGATGCAAAAATAAGCACAAAATGACCACAAAGGGGATAGAAAGGCATCACAAAAGGTACAAAACAACCACAAAACAATTAAAACAATAACCAGAAATTATTTTAAATATCAAACTGATGCAAAATCATCCAAACACACAGAAAAGACACACATGGACACAAAATGATGCAAAATGACGACAACAAGATGCAGATTTGTGCAGAACAACCACAAAGTGCTGCAAAAATCAGCACAAAATGAAACAAAACTAGAAGATCTCTGAAGCAGAATCATGTTTTTGGACAGAAGATGATTTCCTGTGTGCAGCAGAATTCAAAAATCCTCCTTTTAGCAGCTCAGTTACCAACAAGTCTGAGAAATCCTTCAAGAAAACCTTAAAAAGACGAATCGCAGCACCGACATCAACACAAGACGATGAGAAACGGCGACAAAAAGATGCAAAACTGCAAAAATCTGCACAAATCGACCAAAGACGGATGAAAAACAACAAGCGATGCAACAATCAGTGGAGATTTGAGCAGGACGAGTTCGTAAAACAACCAAAAGGTGTCGGAAAAATATGCAAAACGACGACAAAGACACTAAATCAGAACCGAGAGACACAAAATGACAATGTGATGCAAAAAATGACCAGAAACGGATGCAAAATCATCCAAAGATGGAGAAACGGATGCAAAATGACGACAAAAGAACCACGTTTAGATGTGAAACAATGACATAAGATGCAGATTTGTGCAGAACAACCACAAAGTGACGCAACATCTGCACAAAATGATGCAAAAGTACAACAAAGGGACACAAATCGACCAGAGATGGATGAAAAAACAACAAGCGATGCAACAAACGGTGGAGATTTGAGCAGGACGAGTTCGTAAAACAACCAAAAGGTGTCGGAAAAATACACAAAACGACGACAAAGACCAACTAAATGACAACCAAGAGACACAAAACAACGACAATGTGATACAAACGTGACCAGAAACTGATGCAAAATCATCCAAAGATGCAGAAAAGTCACACGCAGACGCAAACTGATACAAAATGACGACAAAAGAACCACATTTAGATGTGAAACAATGACATAAGATGCAGATTTGTGCAGAACAACCACAAAGTGATGCAACATCTGCACAAAATGATGCAAAAGTACAACAAAGGGACACAAATCGACCAGAGACGGATGAAAAAACAACAAGCGATGCAACAAACGGCGGAGATTTGAGCAGGACGAGTTCGTAAAACAACCAAAAGGTGTCGGAAAAATATGTAAAATGATGACAACGACCAATTACATGACAACCAAGAGACACAAAATGACAATGTGATGCGAAAAATGACCAGAAACTGATGCAAAATCATCCAAAGATGCAGAAACAGATGCAAAATGACGACAAAAGAACCACGTTTAGATGCAAAATGGCGACAAAGACCAACTAAATGACAACCAAGAGACAAACAGAAACGTATACGGATGCAAAATAAGGATAAATTGATGGAAAGTGACGCAAAACGACCACAAAACGCTGCAAGGTAACAATAAACTGATGCAAAATCCAAAAACACTCAGAAAAGCTGCATGCAGACACAAAATGACCACATATATATCTATAATGATGACAACAGGATGCAGATTTGTGCAGAACAACCAGAAAGTGATGCAAAAGTACAACAAAGACCCACAAAACGACGAGAAAACAACAAGCGATGCAACAATCAGTGGAGATATGATCAGGACGAGTTCGTAAAACAACCAAAAGGTGTCGGAAAAATACACAAAACGACGACAAAGACACTAAATGAGGACAAACGTGAAGCAAACAGCTCTTTGTCTTCTCTCTGTGTTTCGGCCGAGCTCCTCTCGGCGTCCTGCTGCTGCTGCTTCTGGCCGACCGGAGCCTCCTCAGATATAAATTACATCCATTGAATTATAAAAGCGTCCATGCTTCTTACAGACAGACTTTCTCTTTTCCTCCAACACAATTAATATGACGACTTTGAAATAGTAACCAGAGTCTGACTTTCTTCCTTTTTAATTCTTTTTTTTTTCCTTCTCCCCTCTCGAGTCCACGTCTGATGTCACGAGTCCATTTTCGTCGGGCTTTCGCTTCCGTCCGTCCGCGGCCTGAAATATGAGCGGCGTAATCACTGCGAGGGAGGAACGAGGCCGCGGAGTTCACAGCTTCTTAATTAGTTTGCGGTATGTGTGTAATTATTCCTGCATTTTTAAATTCACTTAAGGCGCCGCTCCCCCTCCTGCTCCCGCTTCATTTTTAAGGATCTGGTTCAAGGATGTCCTGCAGTTACGAATCAATCCCGCATCAGGCCCACGACGCCGCGCCTAATTACACTCGCCGCCGTTCGCTCCCGCTGAGGGATGAACGGACGTATGGATTTAAGGCCAGACGCCATTTTTAGACCCGTTTCTTTTCTCCTCATCGGTTAAAAGAAAAGCCGCGGCCGCAGAGCGTTTGGATGTTTTTAACCCGAAGAATAACGAACCAGCGGAGCGTCGGAGGGCTTTTATTCTCTGTAAAGAAGGAAACAGAACAATTAAACTGATGGAGAGTCAGCACAGACACACAAAGTGACCACAGTCAGCACAAAAAGATGCAAAACAACCACAAAAAGAACAAAAATAAAGACCAGAAGTGATGCAAAATCACCCCAAAGACACAGAACGGCAAAATAATCAGATGCAAAGTGACCAGAGACACAAAATGTAAATAGAACCACATTTAGATGTAAAATAATGACAGACGTGTGCAGAACAACCTGATGCAGAACAGTCACAAAAAGATGCTAAATTATTAGAAATGATGCAAAATAAAAGCGATGCAGCATCATTTCCAAACAAAACAGAAACTCTGAAAGAAAAAAAAACCACAGCACCCAAAATCAGCACAATATGATGAAAAACTGGCTAAAATCAGCACAAAGCGACGCAAAAGGACCAGAAACAGACGTAACAACAACAATAAAGTGACACAAAATCGGCACAAAGCAGCTGAAAGAAGACAAACTAACCACAAAGAGACACGACGTGACGACAAACGGCTGCAAAAATCACTGCAAAGACCCAAAATAACAACAGAAAGGCGACGAATCGACCAATTAAAACGTAAAATAGCAACAAAATGATCAGAAATGACACAAAATCAGCACAGAGTGATGCAAAATCAACACAAAATCAACACAAAAGAGACACAAAACGACCAGAAACAGACACAAAATAAAGAGAAACCCTGAAAGGAAAAAAGAAAACAACAAAGAAAACACATTAGAAGATGAATCACAGCACCGCACGATGAAAAACTGGACAAAACCTGCACAAAGCGACACAAAAGGTCCAGACATGGATGAAAAAAAACAACAAAAAGAAGTGAAGCTCCATCAGTGGAGACATTCACAGGACGAGTTCATGAAATTACCACAAGGTGAAAGTGAAAGATGCAGACTGAAGCAAAAATCAGCAAAATGAGGCACAACACGGCACACGCAACACAACACGATGCTAAACTGTCAGAAGTTAAACTTTATAGAGACACAAAACGACATGAAACAGATTAAAAAAACAACTGAGTTCAGCAAAATCAGCACAAACAGAGACGGCTGCAAGACTAGAGGTCAAGACAAGTCTCACAAAGAGAAGCAAAAAGACCAGAAACAGACGCAAGAACAACAAAAAAGTGACACAAAATCAGCACAAAGCGGCAGCGAACACAAACAAAATAAAGACGGCGATGCAAACTGATTTAAAATCAGCCACAAAGAGAAAATGACCAGAGACTGATGCAAAAATAAGAAAAAAACCTGATGCAAAAACTCAACATGGCTGTAAAAGGATGTAAAAATAAAGACGAACGGATGCAAAACGGCCACAAAATCAGCAAAATGAGACACAACACGGCACACGCAACACAACACGATGCTAAACTGTCAGAAGTTAAACTAAATTTCACAAAGACACACAAAATCCTCACAAACTGATGCAAAACCACCAGACTGACCGAAAAATAAGAAAAAAAAGTGCAAAACTGTCAGAAACTAAACCTCAGAAAGACACAGAACGACCAGAAACAGACGCAAGAACATAAACGTAGCATGAAGTCAAAAATCACTGAACAGCAGCGACGGGACGATACGAGATGAAGAAGAGATGGAAACGGATGGAAAACAGCCACGGAGACACAAAAAAACAACAAAACGAGACACAACACGACCAGGAAATGACACAAAACTGTCAGAAAGTCAAATAAAGACAACGACCAGAAACAGACACGAGAACAACAAACAGCTGACGTGAAATCAGCACCAAGCGCCTCAGAAAAACCAAACCAACCACAGAGACACACAAACTGATTCAAGATGGCGGCAGAGAGACGCGACGTGACGACAAACGGATGCAAAAATCGACGCAAAGACACAAAACGTGATGCGTTCGAGGCAGCTCAGCGGTTTCTGCTGATAAACTAATGTTGGACCTAAACTCACCGTTCGGACCGGCCGCTGGGTTCTGAAGCCTGGAACCGGTTCTGCTCTCGTTTATCTGAGGCTCATCACCTGCTCTGCTGCCGCCTGATTGGCCGAATCAGAAGGTGCTCAGGTGTTCACGTGACGCGTTCAGGGACTGTCGGAAAGTTGACGATCTGATGAATCTTTAGGGTTTTAAGTGATCAGTGGTGGAAGAGGACGGGACTTTCAAACCCGCTGGAGGAAGTTAAGACGCTGGAATCAGAGAATTATCTGAAAAGATATCTAATTTTATGAGTTAATCATCAAGATAACGACTTTTTGACACCCGCCTATAAAAACCTCAGCACACTCAGATCTGTGAGCTTTTCTCATCAGTGTTGTTTTGATGTTTTTGTTTCTCGACATGGACGCTGTGTTTCTTGTTTATTCGGATTCTTCTCCACATCTCTTTGCTCTCCCCGTTCCGGCAGATTTCCCGGCTGTGGGATTAATAACGGATCATCTTATCTCACATTTATGGGATCTGCCTTTGAACCCCGACTTTTATTAAACATTTCTTCTTCCCCCTCTTGTCTTTTATTTTCTCCTCCTGTAATCGATGTTTTCTTTTGCTCTTCTTCCTCCATCTTTTCATATTTCCTCCTCCTCCTCCTCCTCTCCACCTCCTCCATCACTTCCTCGTCCTCCAGCGAGCGCCTCTGATGTGATTTACTCTGTTCTTTCCTTCCCTGTTTTTCTGGATCTCGCTGTTCATTAATAACCTGCTCGGAGCGACCGGCGGCTGTTTGGACCCTGCAGCTTCTCACAACAACACAAACAGCTCTTATTATCGGGTCGTCTGCAGCTCTTTGTGATACGACTCGGCGCCGTGTTCTGCAGCTCGGCTCGTATCGGGCCGGTTCTGTGTTTTAGAGACGTTCTGGTGGACTGTGCTGCTGCTGATAGCATGTAGAGTAAATTAAACGTCACCGTCACTGATCGACTCGTCGCTGCTGCACAAAGCTGCACTGTTGTGTGGTTCTGGAGTTTGTCCAGAACTTCTGGCTTCTAGAAAACGACACAAGACCCAACGTCAGTCTGAAGTTCTGCAAAATCAGCCACAAAGAGACACAAGACGACACAAAAACAACAAAAAACGTGACAGACAAACACAAAGTGGCTGCAAAAGGATGCAAAATAAAGACAGACTGATGCAAAACGAGCAGAAGCAGCTGCACCAAAGAGCAAAATCAGCACAAAGTGGCCGTAAAAAGATCCAAACTAAAGAGGAAGTGATGCAAACTGATGCAAAACGGCCACAAAGAGACACAAAAACCATAAAACGAGACACAAATACGACCAAAAATGATGCCAAACTGTCAAAAAATTCAACTATGTTTCATAAGGCAACACAAAATGACCAGAAGCAGACGCAAACAGGGACAGCTGCAAGACTAGAAATCAAGTCAAGTTTCACAAAGTGAAGCAAAACAACAAGAAACAGACACAAGAACAACAAAAAAAGTGACATAAAATCAACACAAAGCAGCTGAGAAAAGAAAAAAAGACGAAGAGACGCAAACTGATGCAAAAACACCAAGTGGGCACGAATGGATGCAAAATAACGACAAACTGATGCCAAACGAGACACAACACGGCCACAAAATGTCAGAAATTAAACTAAATGGAACCTGGTCTGGTCCAGCTTCACCACATCAGGTTCTGCTGATGTTAGAGCCTCAGCAGGTGGTGAGATGTGACCAGAGACTGGGTTCTAGTAGAACCATGGATCCATCCATAGATAGACACTGACAGGAACTCTGTGGAGACACAACACCACCTTTTGAGTCATTTTAAATCAATCTTGGGTAATTCTGGACATACTTGGAGTCAGTTTGGACAATTTTGAGTCGTTTAATGAGTAATTTTTTGGACTAATTTAGGACAATTTGAGTCTTTTTTTTTTTTGACGTGTCTCAAGATATTTTGGACATTTTGGACATTTCAGGAGCTGGAACAGGAACCTTCTCCTGATGTTGGAACCTCAGACGTCGGACCAAAGGTTGTTTTTTTTTAGTGGGAAATATGGATCCATCCATTTACATACAATTACAGGAACTTTGTGGGGATCGATGCCAGCCTGGTGGTCAATTTTTCACTTTCTTTCCTCTTCAAGGTCAAATAATTCTGCATTATTGTCATTTTGGATAATTCTGAGTCATGTTGGAGCTGCAAATCAAATTAATCTGCGACAAATTTAACGGTTTGAGAACAATCTTCATCTTATTTGGTGTCATTTTTGGTCGAATGTTCTTTTTTTTTGGACAAATTTTGAATCATTTTGGACAATTTTGAGTCTAAACATGTAAAAGCCAGAACCTGGTCTGGTCCAGCTTCACCACATCCGGTTCTCCTGATGTTGGAGCCTCAGACGTCGGACCAAAGCCTGTTTTTTTTTTTAGTGGGAAATATGGATCCATCCATTTACATATAATTACAGGAACTTTCTGGGGATCGATACCAGCCTGGGTTGCAAACGTTGCACTTTTTTCCCATTTTCAAGGCCAATAATTAAACGTTTGCTGGATCCATTCAGTCCTTTGAAGCTGCTGTAACCTGTTCTGTCTTCACAAACGTCCTGCGTTTGGGACTTTCATCTCTGGAAACATCTTGAAGGTGAAAAAAGGAAAAAAAGTTCTTAAAATCGAGCCAAAAGTTCCCGAACTGAGCAGAACGTTGGATTCTGTCTGACGTGTGCTCACGGACAAGGCCGAGAACGTTAAACCTGCATAAGTGTTTATTCAGAAATTACCGGGGAAGACGTTCGTCCTTGTCTCCTCATCATCTCCCTTCATAAAAGCGCCTCTCTGACAGTTTGTTTTTCCGGCTGTTTTCAAAGCTCCGACGCGAGCCGAGGGGGCGATCGGCTCGCTCAAGGTCTTCCTCTGCAAAACACCTGAACCCTCTTTGTTCCGACACGCCGGCGGTAATGATGCTGCCATTCAGGCGACGCGGGAAACATCAGGGGAGGCGCTGAGGGACGGGTTTGTGCTGCGTTCACAGAAACCTGGACTCACCTGAACGTATCTCCGGGAACCTGAAACATGCCCGGCCGCTTCCGGTGCGTTCGGCTGTTCTCTCAGAAATCAATTTGTTTTCCAGTTTGCTGTTTGTTGTTTGTCTTCCTTTTAAGAGTGCGGCTGACACGCCGGATGACAGACTGTCACATTGCCTTTGTTTTTAAAGGCGCATTAAACCGGAGGAGGAGGAGGAGGCCTCGCTCTGCACCGTCATCAACATTCCCGGTGTTTTTGCACATTTTTTTGCTCGTCGGACTGTTTTTTTAAAAAACAGAATAATGGAAAACTTTTCACATTTCCTCTCCTTGGTTTGAGTTTGTATACGTGCTGTCAAACTACAAAGACGTTTGCCGGATCGAACCCAGACGGAACCGAGAGAGAAAACACGGACGAGAATGTGAATATTGATCGCTGCTTTAATAGAAGGAGGGATGAAAACACGCTCTGGTTTCCTGCACGGCGGTCTGAATGTGTTTAATTGGTGCAGAGTTTTCTGGCGTCTGGAGAGTTTTTGTGCACGAAGACGACGAGGAGATCTCATACAGTCCTCCAACCTGCTGCTGTATATTCAGTTTCTTTTGTTGGGACAGATTTGGAGCCACAAGATCTGACAAACTGCCGGAAAACCTTCAGCTGCAGAAAGCAGAGGAACCGCGACTTCTAAAAGCTTTGAAAGTCTCAAAAACCTCCCATAAAAGCCATTAGGCTCATGTTTAGGCACCAAAACTACCTGTTTAGGTTCAGAAAGGGATCAGAACTTTCAGGTTACAAAGCGCTGTTTGGTGCAACTTCAGGTTTGCGACTTTTCGTTATATTTTTTTTATGCACTTATTCACCACCAGAGGGTGCTGGTGTTCTCAGGGTTACTTTGTTTATTAATTATCAGAATGGATGAATACCAGCAGGTGTTGGAGGTCTCTGCTGGTTCACATGGAGGGAAATGGTCAGCAAATGTCAAAAACGATGAAAAGTTAAGTTCCTCTGCAGCACCTGGGCGTCGGGGTCAGTGCAGAACAACATTTTATGTTGATGAGCGTTTTCATTTAGCATCCAAAGATGAGTTCAGACTGATGCTCGTATGATCTCACCTGCCTCGACCTGCTGCTACAAACCCACCAATAGTTTTCTAGAAGATCGGACAAACTCTGCTGGAAAAGCTTCGGCTGCAGAAAAGAAAAGAGGAACCACGATTTCAAGGATAGAGGTTCTAAAGGCCTTTAGTTTGTCCAGAATCAGAACCGCGGAAAAACATTTAGCTTTGTGCGACTAATGGTACCAAATCCAAAACAAACTCCTCAACCGACAGTCGACCACATCGTCAATCAATGATCGATTACCATCTTCAGACATGTGCTCAGTTACGTTCGCCACGTGGTCACAGAGATGTTGTTTTGGTGAACTTGATGTTAGCTTGGAGGCCGCTAGCTGCTCCAGAACTCTCCGAAAACCGAAATCCAATCCTAACTAAAATAATAATCACAACACCACTCGTTTAACAGCTTGGATTTGAACATTCCCATGATCCTTTGTGCTTGGGCCCACTGTTGACAGTGAGAGGCTCCACCTGGTGGCCGGACCAGGTACTACAGCTAATCTACATGATCTGACATGAACGTCCCTTCTTCTGCAACACATCAGTCAAATCTTCAACAGCAATAAAACGATTTCTGACGTCTGGAAATGACCCCAACAAAAAAAAAAAAAAGCAAAAATCCATCTTTGTTTAGTAGAAAACGTGTATTTTTGTCAGTTTGTTGGACGACTTTGAGCCTCAGCTGCCTTCGCTGTCAATAGGAAGTCCAGAGGTGACCACCTGAGCTGCAGCTTTGGAAAGTTTTTAATCAAATCAGATGTTTTCAAAGACACCTGTTCATCTTTTGTGCCGACGGTTCAGTCTGAAGAGATTTAAGTCCGTCCAGAGTTCAGAGGAAAAGGTCTTCCTGTCCTTGTAGTTTGAGACGCTCACAAATAACCCTGAAGTCCTGAAATCCATCTTCACGGCTCTGCAGCACAAACCGCTCGTCAAAAGAGTCCAATTAAATGTGGTTCTGAAAACTTCACCAGCGTGTTCACGAGGGTGCCGTTATTCATAACCAAAGCTGTGTTTAGTGTTGTTCAGCAGACGCACCGACATCAACCTGACGATTACCTCACTTTACGTGGAGGATAAAAATGCTTCATGTCAAAAAACAACAACGAAAAACGGACATGCTGAAGGAAAAAGTGTTTTTATTTCCCTCCCAGCCAACGAATGAACGCAGCACTTCTTCACAACAAACTCAAGGCCTGATTATTTTTTGTTTTGGTGCAAACAGCTGAAGGTGAAGTGTTTCTGCCGTTCAGACGATTCAGACCGAAGACGCTCGCATGTCTCTTAGAGGTTCGTCATCAGTCTAACGGCGGCGCCCAAAGCCGTCTCCAGAGGACGGAGGACAATGACGACGAGCAGATGGTGGAAAAGAGACGAAAGTGATTAAAGCAGAAGGTTTCTGTGCTGTTTACGATCTGAGACGGAGACGCAGGAAAGGTTTCAGGTTTTCAGAAAAACCAGAGAAAGTCTGTCAAAGGTTCACCTGAAAATACTGCAAAGATCGTTTTATAACGAACAAGTTCAGGTTTGGAGTCCTGCATGGCTTCAGGAAGGAAACTCTCAGGAGTCATAGGAGTCCTGGTGGCCTCCTTCACTAGTCTCCTTCTAGTAACTCCTTCAGAGGAGTCATAGGAGTCCTGGTGGCCTCCTTCACTAGTCTCCTTCTAGTAACTCCTTCAGAGGAGTCAGAGGAGTCTGGTGGCCTCCTTCACTAGTGTCCTTCTAGTAGCTCCTTCAGAGGAGTCGTAGGAGTCCTGGTGGTCTCCCTCACTAGTCTCCTTCTAGTACCTCCTTCAGAGGAGTCATAGGAGTCCTGGTGGCCTCCCTCACTAGTCTCCTTCTAGTACCTCCTTCAGAGGAGTCATAGGAGTCCTGGTGGTCTCCTTCACTAGTCTCCTTCTAGTA